GGCTGGCGCCTTAGCCGGTTGAGCTATAGGCGCCGAGCCAGTTCTGCTGTCTTATTGTGGCCACAGCCTCCTGACCCCAGCACTAATGGCCAAGGGCCACCTGACCCAACCCCTCTGGTCCCCCAACCCCAGGCCTCTGCCTCAGCTCAAGCTTCTCTGATGCCACCCTGAAGGGTCCCCAACCCACTGTCGTACTTCCTCTGATCTCCAACCTCCATCATGCCTCAATGTACCTTCGATGTCACAGGTCTGCCGCTTTCCAGTGGCACTACCGGACAGCTTTACCACCGAATTGGGGGGCACTGAAGGGGGATGAGTGGCCTTGTCCTGGGTTCTAGGCAGGCATCCCTGCAAGAATGTGGGGTCAGAGCCACAACCAGGAGGGGAGATGCATCTAGTGGAAGAGGGTGCCCAGGCTCTCACTCACCTGGCTGTGGCAGGGGGATATGTCACTAGCTTCGGAAATCTTCGCACCTGCAGCAGAGAGTGAAATCGTTAGTATTTGCCTCCCGCCTGGACCCCCTGCCTCATGGGCCAGAGCCATCCCCAGAGATCAAGCCACTGGGCCAACATTCCCTACCTGGACAAGTGTTCAAAACTAGTCTCTGGGCCGCCACCGAGCTCACTAGCTTCTTCAGATCCAGTGGCTGCTTCTCGCCTGGCTGCAGGAGAGGTCAGCAGCCCGCGGGACATGCAGCCGACTCCCTGCCGCCCGGTTCCCGTCCGGTCCCCGCCCAGCCCCCGCCCGGAGCCCGGCCTCAGGCCCCGACCCAAGACCCCAGCCCCGCAGCTCACCCGGTGCAGCGCCACCTGCTGTGGGCTCAGACCGTGTTTCTCCAGGATGGGCTGCAGCGCGTCCTGCAGCCGTTTGGTGGGCTTGGCCGAGATGCGTACCACGCGCTCCAGGGCCGCCAGCTCGAGCCTGCACCAGACACTCGGGATGTAGAAGGAAGGATGACCGGCCTTTCTCCCACTACCCAATGGGCCAAGCTCTAGAGGGGCGAAGTTTTAACTGGGGAATGGAGGCCTGTTTTGGGGAGGGGCTTTGGTCTGGGGGCAGGGCTATAACGAGGGGCGTGGCCTGGGAGCCAGATAGCCAGAATAGAGCCAGAAGCCTGTGGGGGCACCCAAGAACCAGCCTTAGGGGTGGGACACTTACTCGAAGGTGATCCTGTTCTCCAGCCGCACTTCCTGATCCGCCAGCACAGTACACTCCTGATCCAGGACCAGGGCCTTCTGCGGATGCCAGGCAGGGTCTAAGCATCCCTCCCCCAACCCTGAGCCATCCCTAGAGGTCTGAAAGAACACCTTCACTTCCTCCACAGCCGCCACTGGGCCTTACTAGAGGGAGGGAAGGTGGCTGGGAGAGCTATAGGGGAGCAAAAGGAGTAAGGCACCAGGCTGGAGTCAGGCCTGGTAAGGCCAAAGCCAGGGAGAAAAGCGGCAAGAACCCTGCACATTCTTGGAAAAGGACTGGAGTTATGGGAAATGGTAATGCCATGAAACGGTAATGGTGGCCTATACTTCCCAGGTTAGGACAGACTATGCCTACTGAATGGCTGCTCCCTTGTCCCTCAGGCATGTGAAACCTGGCCAGACAAGCTGTTTGCATTTCCTCCTTCGCCACTCACCTTTGGTCAGCCACCCAGACTTTATCCCATTTTTGACATTTGTCCAGTTCTCTCAATCCCCTCCTACTAAGGACATTTCTTGTCTTCTCCTGCAGAAATGTTCCCCGGCCCCTCCCCAAAAAACTTCTGTGAAGCCAGAGGATGTGAAGCATCTGGCACAATGCCTGGCACACAGTAGGCACATAAACAGTAACTATCATAATTACCACTTTCAGAAGCCCCACTGCCTGAGGCCCCAGGAGTGGGGATGGGGGTAGCCTTTCCCAAGCAGTAGGCCTATGCCGTGTGCAGGGACAGGTGGAGTGTGGGAGGTGGAGTTATATTTAGCAGGCATGAAAGACCATCTGGGCTGCTGGCAGCTGCTCCAGTGGCCTGAGAGTGGGCAGAGCACCCTACTACTGCCCTTGCACCCCAGAGCTCCAAGCCCCTGGTCCCTGAGCTTGGCCAGCAAGTACCCCTTCCAGGTCCTCACTTATGACTACTACAACCAAAAAATAGCCAGGTGTTATAGCGGGCACCTGTGGTCCCAGCTACTTAGGGGGCTGAGGCAGGAAAGTCACTTGAGCCCAAGAGTTTGAGGTTGTTGTGAGCTGTGACACCATGGCACTCTACTGAGGATGACAAAGTGAGACTCTGTCTCGAAACAAACAAACAAACAAAAAATAAACTCTGCCAGGCAAACTCCTCCCCATCCACATCAATTGCTGCTTCTTCCATGAAGTCTTCCAGACACCAGCTAGAAGTGCCTACTTCCCCCCCTCCCCCAGAGATGCTCTCTAGAGGTTTCACTCCTCCTCCTTGACCATATCCTGCCTCGATCACCTTTTGCCTGAGGACAGCCCCAGGTGAGAGGCCTTCCACCCACCCACCTGGCAGGACCTTAAGACTTGTCTGCTAAGTGGATGAAATCCTGCTGGTCCCCTGGAATACAGCACTCTTCTTTTAGAACTCCCTTACTGAATGAATAAGTTTAAAGTGAGTTTTTCCTCTAGACTCTTCTTTAAAGTTTAATGCTAACTGGGCATGGTGGCTCATGCCTGTAATCCTAGCACTATGGGAGGCTGATGCAGGTGGACTGCTTGAGCTCAGGACTTCTTTTGCATCAGACCTGAGCAAAAGACCCCATCTCTACTAAATAAATAAATAAACAAATGAACAAATAAATAAAAACTAGCTGGGCGTTGTGGCGAGTGCCTGTGCTACTCAGGAGGCTGAGGCAAGAGGATCTCTTGAACCCAAGCATACAGGATTGCTGTGAGCTATGACGACACTCAAACTCAAACCAGGGTGACAGAATGAGACTCTGTCTCAAAAAAAAAAAAAAAGTTTAATGCTAGTATGCCCCAAAAGGAAAGCAGTTCATTGGTTAGCAGTTGGCTGCCCCTAGCAGCTGAGGAGGTAAGGGCTCCCCAGAGATGACCTTGTAAGGATGGCAGTCTGAACTCGGGAGTGATGGGGAAATAGCCTAGCTCCAGAAGAGGCTGTCTCCTGTTTAACCTCCCTGAGTCCATCACAGTGGGATGATGGATGAAGCTGGAAACTGAGATGGGTATGGAGTGGGGGATGAGTGGGTATCTGAGTTTTGAGTGAGGTATTGATGCTAGAGGTGGCTTGGAGTTGGGTGTGGGGATGGGAGAGGTGTTGTGGTGCTGGAGTTAGAAAGACAGGGTTGGAATTAGGGTCTAGGAGATTAGGAATGGAGTTGGAATTAGGGTCATGACTGAGCAGAGACAGGAAAAAGGTGAGGTCAGGATGAGAAAGGAGGTTGTAGGTGGTGTCAGGCCAGGTTCGCACCTGCTCGTTGCCCACCAGGTAGACCTTGATGTCAGGTAATGAGAGGCCTCGTTTCTCACAGATCCCTGCCAGCATGTCGCGGATGGTGAAGCCAGGTCGGGCCAGGGCTAAAGAAGCTGTGCCATCAGGCAAATACACACAGCAGTACTTCCCTGGCCGGCTTTCACTCTCCCCTTCTGTACTCCCAAGGCTCTTCCGGTGACTCTGATTCAGGGAAGAAGTGGGAGGAGGTTATGTGTACACATGCAAAGGCATGTGCACAGATACACAGAGATAGGAAAGCTTGCTGGGATTCAAACATGCACTTACGTGCCCAAGGGCACACCTGTAGGCATGTAAAGGTACTTCCTCCTACAAGAACACACATATGTACACCAGGCAGATGGGCACCTAGAGACAGGTCTACACACATAACCACACACACACACACATGCTGTGTACATCTGGGCACTTGCACATGCCCACACACCTGCTGACTGAGGATGTGCACCCATGACACACATGGTGACTGAGGGAGTGAGGACAGGAAGAAAGTAAGGAGGCTGAAGGGTTGGCTGTGCAAAGCAAGCTGGGAGATAGCAGTGGAGCCGGAGACTGGGAATAACGCAACTACCTAAAGGGGCTTGAGTAGTGGCCCTGGCACACAAGGCACTTGGTCTCCTTGGGAAGTCAGCTCACCTCAGATTTGTTGCTGACAAAGGCAAGGAACCCAAGGTCCAGACTGGCAGAGGAGTTGAGGGAGCCCTGAGACTCTCGGCGCAAGGCTGAGTTTGTGGCCCCACCCGCCAGCTCTAGGGAAGAGAAAGCAAATGACAGTGAACAGCCTCTCCTCCCCTCACCCATCCCTCTGCTAAAGCCTCTGCCTCACCTGGCGGACCTTGTTTGGAGCATCCTGCAGGGGCCCAATGTGGTTTGTCCCCAGGATCGTCACTACCGTGGGCACTTTCAAAACTTCGGGGGTCTAGCCACCCAGGGAAATGTGGTCACAAGGAACTTGCTTTTTGATTTTCACAGACTTACATATTAGACTGGCTGGGAGGCCACGTCGGAGTTAAGTGGGAGTTTCCCAAATTTGCCCAAACTCTCGTACCCCATCTCTGTAGCCCGCTCTTGCCCTCACCCCTGCGGAAGGACTTGCGGAGCTGGCGGCCCGCAGGACCCTCAGCAGGTGGCAGCTGCCCCAACTCCTCTACGCCCAGCGGCAGCGACTTCCCGGGCTTCAGCTTCGGTTTCTGCGGGTACAGGGAAGGCGCTGGCACCTGGCTGGGCCATAGTCCCCGTGCAGACCGTGGGCACACACCCGCGGATCTGCACCTGGGGACGTCCCCCTCTGCACACGGTGTGCGGAGCCCCTTGCCTCCTACTGCCCACCCCGCCCCCGTCCGCACCTTCCTGGTGGAGTCAGGGCTGCCGAGGTGTGAAGAGCTAGGTTTCCTCAGGGGGCGCCCCTCAGCCTCGGCCAGGAGGCACTCGCGGTACAGCGGAGACTTGACAAAGCGCGCATAGCTGTCGAATTTCATCAAGTTGAAGATCTGCGGGGCCAGCGCAAGGACTATGAACTGGCTGGCGGGTAGGCAGGTGTCGTTCCAAGCCAGATCCCCCGGGTTGGAGCAGCTCCCAGCCTAGGGTAGGGGAGTGTCTAGCCCCGCCCCCATCTCCGGAGTCGAGGCCGGGTCCCCACTTTTGGTTCAGGGAGGCTCCGCCCCTAACCATTTTTTTTTTTTTTTTTTTTTTGAGACAGAGTCTCACTTTGTTGCCCTGGGTAGAGTGCTATAGCGTCACAGCTCACAGCAACCTCAAACTCTTGGGCTCCAGCGATTCTCTTGCCTCCGCCTCCCAAGTAGCTGGGACTACAGGCGCCCGCCACAAGCCCGGCTATTTTTTGGTTGTAGTTTGTCATTGTTGTTTGGCAGGACCGAGCAGGGTTCAAACCCGCGAGCTCTTGTGTATGTGGCTGGCGCCCTAGCCGCTGATCTACAGGTGCTGAGCCCCTAACCAATTTTTCACTGCAGCCTCTGGTACCGCCCTCTGATCCCTACCCTGCCCCTGAGTTTGTCGCTGTCCCCACGTCCATATTGTTCCCTCCCCCAAGTCGCTCAGGCTTGGCCCAGGATCTGACCCAGTCTCTGCCCCTTTTCTCTCCCATCCAAGGTCATGCCCTCTCATCACAGGCCGCGCCCCTGGGATCGCTCGCCTGAAGCTGCTGTGCCCGAAACATGTCTGGCCGGGGCTCTGCCAACACCTCCTCGCCGAGCCAGGCCTGCCGGTCGATGTTCACTGGGCTCAGTGCCTGGCTGGACAGGAACTCCTGGTAGATGTTGCGGGCCTCCTGAGCTAGCTGAGGGAGGAGGGATGGGAGAAGAAGGTCGGGAACATGGCCCAAGCCCCGGTCCTCACCCCTCCATCCTCTGCTCTAGCTCCTCCTACCCCTCACCTGCTGGGTATCACTGGCTGGGATCTGCTGGAAGCGCTCACAGGCCTTCCAGAAAGTCACGTTCTCAGCGCTGAACTCCTTTTTCAGGAACTCCTGGGAGGAGGAGGAAGGCAAAGTAGTCAGAAATACAGAGATGAAATCTGGGGATATGCTCAAAGAAATTGAGACCACAGATAATCTCCCTGAGACGGAGCCAAGAGACAAGCCAGACAGATAGGGCTAGCTAGACAGACAGATGGAGCCAGTTCTGGAGGCACAGGGAAAATGAGAAGCAGAGATGAGGACAGAGAGAAGCAGGGAGAGCTACCAGCTGGGAGAAGAGGAAGAAGGTGCCAGAGGAAGGGCAGACAGGAGTGACAGAGGAGCCCGCTTTGGCTAACCTGGAGCTTCATCCATGCCCTTTTCTGTGCCCCCTCCCCTCTCCCTACCCCAGGGCTTACAGTGAAGTAAGCCAGGCCCAATGGGTCCTGCAGCAACCGCTCGAAAGACAGGGCCCAGCTGGCTACAGGCTGCTCCTCAGTGGGGAAGGGGCTGCTGGGGCCACTGGGAAGGCTGTGGATGCTGAGGGAGCTGCCTCGGCCCTGGCCCTGGCCTTGGGCCCCTGTTGTATTGTTCAGCTCTGCAGGTGGATAGACAAGTAGGGGGTGAGCCTTGCTGGCTTTCCCAGCCCTTGGTCCATCCCTCCCACCCCCAGAGTGGGCATCCACTCTGCAAATAAGTTCCCTAGAAAGATAACAAGGGACAGGGGTGTCCCGATCCATTTCCACCTCCCTCCTCCCACCCCCTCACAAGGCCTCCTCCTTGTGTAAAATGCTGTTTACTTACCTCCATCTGAGACAGCCAGAACCTATGAGACCCAAAGTAGAAAGTCAGAGCTGGCCTGGTCCAGTGAGGATTCCCAAGGGACAGTTCTGGGCCCAGCACCTAGGACCTACAACTATGTTCTCCTCCACCTGGAGAGCCATGCTGGGCTCTCAAACTTTAGCGTAGAGTGACTGGGAGGACCCCACATCTGGAGATTCAAAGCCCCAGCCGGTCTCTGTTTAGTCAGGGTTTTACTCCCTTTGTGTTCTGTGCCAACCACTATGTGTTGGGGCTTATGCCAGGGACCTTCCAGTTGCCCCTGATAGGTGAGCCCTGTGTGTATAGCATGGTAGGTAGGAGCAGACTTTAGCCTGTTTCTGTTACTTACTAGCTATGTGACTTTGGGCAAGTTAGTTAACTTGTTTGCCTCTATCTATAAATAGAAGATGATGTTGATATTAATAGAATCTTCCTTTCTGGGGCTGTTGTGAGGATCAAATCAGTTTAATATAATTACAGTATCTAGAACAGTGGCCAGCATGAGGTAAGGTTATAGCAATATTTGCTGTTGTTTTTGAAGAAGGAGCAGTGTCCCTGTGGCCAATGAATGCCTTACTGCAACTGTTTCCTCTTGGGATCCAGGGTCTCTGACAGGTCCCATCCGCTTTAGGCAAGGCACTTGATACTGTTTTGCAGTGTAGAGCAGTGGCTCTCAAACTTAGCATAGAGTGACTGGGAGGACCCTACCTCTAGAGATTCAGGGCTAGTAGGTCTGGGATAGGGCCCAAGGCTCTCTGTTTCTAACAAGCTCCTGAACAGTGCTGATGCTGCTGACCCAAGGACCACACAGTGAGTAGCAGCACTGCAGAGGCCAACTCCAACTTCTCTGGGAATCCCAATCATTAGTGAAACAGAAAAACCCTCCTCTCAAAATGACTCTTGCTGTGGTTTCCCCTGGCTTTCTGCTATTCTAGCAGCTCCTCCAGCTTCCTTATGACCTCCTACCCATGTAGTGTGGCCTCTGCCTCTCCCTTGCTGTCCCAGTCCCTTTGTCCCAGCCACAGATCTCTAGCTCCAAACACATAGCTAACTTCCTGCTAAATTTACCCCCAAATTTCTCACAAATCCTTCAAACTCAGCCAGTCTCACCAAAACAGAGTACTTAGCCAGCTTTCCTATATCCCATCTTTCTTCCATCACCTGGGCTCCCCACATCAGGCTTGAGTCATATTCATCCCCTATACCCCCCTTCACTATGCCCTTCCTCTTCCTTCCATTCCATTGGATATAGGTCTGCAAACATCTGTTCTGCCAGAAAGCAGCCCCCTGCCCCTCTGGCTACAATCTCCTTCTCTGCTTCCCTCTGCTAACCTGGGAGCACCCAGGTTACAGAGCAGCCATTCAAGGGCCAGAATGGCCTACAGATATGCAGGATATTATTATCTTTGCTCTCAGAACTTTTTTTAAGGTTTTTTTTGTTTTTTTGGAGAGTCCCTCCTAACAACCTCAGAAAGGCCAGAAAGTGTCCTGTCCCCTACCCACCATGTCCCAGCCTAGTACTATGGGACAAAGCAAATAGATCCAGAGAGACCAGGGTTCCAGTCCTGGCTCTCTTGTTCCTTCTAAACTGAGGAGCTTAGAATGGATCTCAAAGGCTTGTTGAGATGCTACAGTGGAATAATTTTTTTTTTTTT